CCTCCTCCTCCTCCTCCTCCTCCTCCCCACTTCTCCACCTCCTACAATATGCAGGCCCTCCTCCCTTCTAGCTCTAACTATGTTACTTAGTCGGGCAATGAAAGGTCTTGCAACAAAACATTCCCAGCTTAAAAAGCAACGGGGACCGTCCCAACCGTCTTCCTTTCTCCTCCTCCACAAACCCTTCTATCCCGGATGACACTACCTAGCTGGGTCATGCGACGTCCCCAACCTCAGAGAAGCACCGAGGGACTCCCAGATGGTGACTTTCCTGGGCCACGACCGCTCCTCCTCCCACCATACCACCCGAGGGAAGCGGACGGAAGGCGAGGGGGTGGGGGGTGGGGAGAATTTACCTGGCGGGACACTGTAACGAGTGGCATTCATGTCCGGCTGGGGCGAAGCCTTGTTCATGTCCCGGGGAGAGAGGCGGTAAGGCGAGCCCGATCGGGCCGCTGCGTTTTGCATCTGGGCTTCCTGATCCATGGCGCGCTTGACTTCGGCGTAAGGCATGTAGGCCACTGTCTTTGCTGGCAAGAGGAAAAGGAAGAGCTTCGGTCAAGCGAGACAATTACGGCATCGTAATCTTTATTTTTTATTTAATTCGCATCCTTAGGAGTGGTGCGGTGGCCTAGAGGTGGAGATCTCGCCTCACAATCAGGAGGCTGTGAATTCGATCCTAGGTAGAGGCAGATTATTTCTCTCTCTGGCCAGGATGAGAATTTATCGGCTGGGGGGAAAAAACTCCGTACTGGTGACCAGAAAGGCATCTGGCCAGTAAAACACTCCGCTCCATTCAGTTGCCCAAACTCCACCCTGCAAGGGATTATGGAGTTGTTAAAGGAGGAGGATTATTTAATTCACCTCCTTAAACTACAAACTCCCCCCAAAAAGGTAAAGAAATAACAACAAAACTAAATGAGATATTTTAAAAATGTACACAGGAAAACAAACCAACAAAAAGGAACACTCCACGGGTCGTCCTCAACTTACGACTGCATTTGAGCCCAACGTTTCTGTTGTGAAGCGAAACAGCTGTTAAGCGAATTCTGCCCCATTTTTATGACCGATTTTAAAAATACAGTTAGTCCTCGATGTGCAACCGTTGGTGTAGTGACCGTTCAAAGTTACAACAGTGCTGAATAAAAGCGGCCAATGACCGGTTTTCACACTTACGACCTTTGTTAACGTCCCCATGGTCACGGGATCAAAATTCAGACGCTTGGTAACTGACCCGTAGTTCTGACCGTCGTTGTGCCCTAAGGTCACAGGACAGCCCCCCCTTTTGTCGACCTTCTCACAAGCAAAATCGATGGGGAAGCCGGATTCACTTAACGACGGTCTGACTAACTTACCAGTGGCGTTTGTAAAAATGGGGCCAAACACACTTCACAAATGTCTCCCTGAACAACAGAAAATTTGGGCTCATTTGTGGTCGTTAAGTCAAGTAGTAGCTGTACACGCCAGCCACCAAGTGCAGTCGTACCTCGGGACTCGACTGCTTCCCAACGTGACAAATTCAGCATTCGACGCATTTTGAAGCAATTTGAATTCGCTCTTTTTCCCCCCAGAATCCATCGGTTTTAATATTCGTCGCGTCTTCTGGAATGAATTACCCCCACCCAAGGTACACACCCCGCCCCCGTATCTCAATTTTGATCACATCACCCCCGCCAAGGACGTCGCGACAATCGTTAAGTGTGAAAAACACTCCTGTCCCTTTTTTGCAGCGCTGTGGTCACTTTTGAACTGTCATGACCCTGTCGGAATCTGACTCAAGAGGAGGAAGCCGAACAGCTGACGGAGTGGGGAAGGGCAAAGTCCAGCTGGGCAGAGCAGGGGAGAGGTAGAACAAGGGAGAGGTAGAACAAGGGAGAGGGAATTCAGAGGAAAACCCAGGCCTACCCCCTCTTCATCCTAGGGCAGGCACACAGGAAGGAACGGAGAAGGGAGAAACGTAGGTTGCGTGGCTTACGGGGAGGAAAGGGCCCTGATTCCCTTCATTAGCTGCAGCTGGGAACACAAGTGTTTGAAAAGGGAAGCTGCGTGCAGCAAGTTGTTGGGAGCAAGCGTGAACGTGGCTTATCTGTGTTCCTGGCATCTTCCCAACTGTGTGAGTTTTGTCATGCTTTCAAGTCTGAAATTCCTTCTCCTGCCCTGTCAAGTTAATTAGTTCAGCTTGGTTTGTTTGCACTTTTAAGTTACAGTTTGTGCTGACCACGTTTTGGACTTGATTCTCTGCATCCCAAGGCTGTTCCCGGGAGAGTTTTTCTCCAGCCCGAAGGTAACCTGGATATTGGGAGCAAAGTTGGAGATAATAAAGGGACTCTTATTGCTTATCTGACTGAGTTGCCTTTGTGCCACGCCCCGGCTCATCACATGAACGGTCACTGAATGGACGGTGGTAAGTCGAGGACTAATGGGCAGGCCAAAACAGACACGATGAGAAATGGCGATGCTACCCTCGATTTAATGACAGAGGAGCCGAACCACGGCTTCGATGCCTGACTCCAAACATGGTTTAAGGGCCCTGCTGGCACGGAAACAAGCAGAGTATCTGTTTTTAGAACAGCTTCGTTCCTCGCTGTACCTCCCTGGTTTTGGCCTTGGCACAAGGCGGGCTGGACTTGGCTGGCATGTGCCCTCGGCCTGCCCCGGTTTCTCAGGCTCCCCCCGTGAAACTTATAGCCTGTTGTTTCACTGGAGTCCAACAGCTGGCAAGGCTGCAAATCAAAACCACAGGGCCTGTCTCTATCTTGCTTCAGGGTTTTGACCCGTGGCCAGGCCAAGAGAGAGCCGTGCAAGGAAGCCCGGGAGAGAAATACGTGGGACT